GCTGGCAGGAAGTTTCTTTAAACTTAAATGAAATCATACTTTCAACCACGCAACGGTTGCTCTCACTACCGTCACATTGGTATTGGTACCCTTGACGTATGGCAGACGTAAGGAAATATCATATATGTGCATATATGTGTGCAGGCATTCTAATCTTACGTCTGGTTGAATAATGTAAGCGGAAATATAAAAAAGCTAAGTTTTTGGGGGAACATTAATCCGGTTATTTAGAAATATACAGAATGTAAAATAAAGGGTGTTTTTAGGCTTATGGTTTTCAAGAAGAAATAAGACGCATATAATTTCATTTTATGGCCAGTCGGTTATAGTTGGCTTTACTGTAAAGACGCGAGTTTGCCATTGTGTTTTAAAGATATTTCGGGGCAAGTGGCCTCAGTGACTGGCTGGCTCAAATAAATTCCAACCGAAAACACCTATTTTCGACCGGGCCGTAATGGATAACCTTATTTGCGTAGACTCACTCACTCACTCTACTCACCAAAAGTTTCTTTCGTTGGCTGTTTGTATGTAGCGCCCTCTTGCTGGAAGCAAATGTTGTCCAACTCAACAGCAATCCGTTCTACCCTTAGTTCACATCAAGCAGTGTCTTTTGAAGACCGAGTCTCGACAATCACTTGTGAATTACCACGACATCCATTGCAACGGCTTTGTTCATAATGAACCACTCAACTAAAACCGAGCGTCATCGCTGAACGAAATGTTCTTGTGAAAATCTGCATCGGTGACGGTCTCGTTTTGAGCCCATTCACTCACTCTGCTCGTCGGGTATGCGAACCGAACCATTATTTTGGTAATAAAATTCCATGACTTGCAAACATTGTTTAGTAGTAAGCGTGTTCATTATTAAATGGTAAACCATAGGGAGTATAAATCAGTTGAAAGCTATAAAAAATACAGATTCCAAAAAAGTATTGCCTCATTGAAAGCGAGACATCTAAAAAAATATTTATAATAGTTAATATAAATAGCGGTGTCTTTCGAAATGTCAATTTTTGGATCAGCATTAGTTAATTTTTGTATGTCGAATTGCAGTCCAGGGAAGCTGACTCATGATGGTTAAACGAGATTACGTGTAACGTGACCAGACAGCTATGACCGAAGTTGAACGCGAAAAGCTCTAAACATCTTACTTAACTGGATACCGTTTAATGGGACTCACGGGATTACGATGGGCTTTTACTCTAACGATTTCTGCCGCGTCTGTAGAGACGAAGAAGAGGAGGAGGCCACTGTCTCGCATTGATATCCGCGCAACACAAATTTCTTGGGAAACATTTCTTCGATTGTCTCGCTGAGTTGGTCTCAGTTAACACAGGAAATCTCGTTTCATTTATAAAGCACATGAAATGGTTCGATCATTTGAGAAGTCTCTGCGGTATCACAATGGGCCAATTGCCCTAAGTATGCTGGGATTGGCCAGCAGCCGTATCAACTCAACTCAGCTCTCAAGCCCACTGCCGTATAAGTGACCGGTTAAATGTTTATTTAATTTTTTTATTATAGCCGAGCCAATAAATGCACCTGTCGATTTTTTTGAATTTTGGTACCATTTAGAAACAGATCCATCTCTACTTGATCTTTATAATCTAGTGGAGCATAACAGTATTTTCAATAACAGTATTCCACTACGTCGTGCTGTTATGTTTAGTTAATTTTGGTGGGAACACGATACTCGAGTATTTAGAACCTATTGTTCTTATTTTCATGGTTCGAAGATCGGAGTACATGATTTTTGTATTGGATATTCGGACGGTTAACATCTCCAAGGACTGCTGTTCAAAAACGGAGTTGCTATTTTAAAGAAATGATGGAAAATGAACTAGTTAGTGTAGAAAGAGAACTAGTAGCATTATAGTTAACAACTAGTATCCGTCCCTACTGGGATACTGTGCTGAGCCTTCACTCTTCCAGCTTTATGAATTTATTTAGATTATCGATTTTTAAGATGAACTCAATGATATCAGCCATTATTTTAACGGGGATATTAAACAGCTTAGCAGTAAGCTAGAGAGCCCAACATATTTCAACCATTCGTCAAAGATTCGTAGTTAATCTTACTTGTTCTTTCTGTTTGTATGAAAATAGGCAATGAAAAATTTGTGTTTATAAAGTTTCATCAGCAAAATGCAATTAACTGCAATTTCAAATTTGGCAAAAAATAGTTATAACTAAGCAGCCATACCAGAGTATATATAGACATATATACATAAATAGCAACAAACAAAAAACAGCTCTCCCCTAAAGAGTATAGCGATCTCGTCTGGATAGAGTATTCAACGCGATGATCATGTTTTTTTTTTCAGAAAAAAGCTCCAATCTTCGAGGTATTTATATTAATATTCGCATATAAATATTTTTATTTATATTTTTAATAAATACAAAAATTAAATATCTTCGAGTTAGTATAAATAAGAATTCAAATTTCCTACGGAGACACTTGTAAATTAATCCCCGCCTTTCTCCACTTCACGCTCATCTTAATGGCAACGAAAGCAAATACCCACCTGAGACTGAGCACATAAACACTCAGCAGTCAGCTACAGCTAACCAACAACTCCATTTCGGTTCTTTATTGAGCGGCTTCTTTCTCAATTCTCTGGCTTCAACAGTAGTCAGCCAGCCAGCTCGTGGCTTGCGGTGACGCGGCTTCGCGTGGAACTTTTTCTTTTACTTCAATACTTTTTCTCTAATCGTTTTAAGCAATTTGGTTTCATACGGCTAATCGCACGAGACAGTTTTAAGCCAAAGTGAAAATTTTTGAGCAAAAGCATGAATTAGTTAAATACCATTTTGGTAACTCAACGGTCGCGAATGCGCAGTCCATTCGCTGTTAGAAATTCTCATTGAAAATTTCAGTGTTTCTTGCATTCTTTCGGATTAATGTAGTGCAGTTCAACCTCTACGAGTGTTTGCTTTGTCAGTGAAAAGTTTGACTGAAATGTGTAGTGAGGCGAGGGGAAAGCATGAGAAGGTGAGAGGCAAATGATAGAGTGAAAAAGACAGTGGCTGCAGGGTCATTATAAATTCCATATTGCCATAATAAATATAAGGCCGTATTTTAATTAAAAAATCTGTGAGAGTATAATGGTGACATAATGAGTGCAGACGTGACTCAAAAGATAAATAATAAAATAAATAAATCAAATATTTCTGTATTGAATTTGCGTAAACAAATATTTATTCAATTAAAATCTTTCTTAGAATATTTGAGGGGAATTTTTATCGAAAACAAACGTATGACAACAATAATTTTATCTTTAAAAAAAACAGATAAACTACAAATCGAAAGACCTCAAAATTGAATAAAATCCAAACTATGCCGAAAATAACAAACTACAATATTATTTCAAAAAAGTCATTTAAATTGGTAAATAGTATTACTTTTCGGTTACTCGGAGTTCGGAATAGAAGTTATGTAATTATGACGGCATACTAGATTATTTTTAGCAAGTAATTCTGATTTCCGCATTTAATGCCAGTCAGCGGTCGTTTACTTTATGGAGATATAATGATGCACTTGCTCCTATGTTTGTATGTATGAAATTATGTTGTAATGGACACTAATTCTAAAATTTCCTCCGAATCATCGTGGTTAATAAGGTTGAATGTATGTCTGTTTGTATACGCTTGAACAGTGGGTCTACTCGTATTGCTTCGCTTGAATTTTTAGTATACTCCAACATTAATGTAGGCTTCCGCGGTCGATTAGCGTGTAATAACAGCAGTCAATGCCGCAAAATTTTACTGAAGTCTAATTGAATTGAATTTACTGCGATTAGGTGGCTTTGCAAAAACAAAGTTCGTGAGTGAACTTTGTTAAAAACGTTACTTGTGGCGTTATTTCAAAAAAAAACCAAATATTCTTATTATTTTTAATGCATGAATATTAATTAATTTGAATTTCAAATACTACTCCAAATATATTATTAATTATGCCATGCTGACAAGCTATTTTTCAACAAAAACAAAAAACAATTTTAACAAATCATCGAAATATTTTACATGCACTTTTTCTTTAACAGCCAAGCGAAATAAAAAGTTGTCAAATTAGTTTTTCTTATCGTAAATAGACCTCAAATCAAGTAATCTATAGAACAATGAGGTTACAAAAGTTAGAAATAATGAGTACTAAAACGACTTTGTCAAGCAAATCTATACATTTTAAGTAGTTGGCTCATGGGAGGACACAGCTTTTCTTCTTGTAAATTAGAAGGTTAAATGCAAAAAATGGAATTGAATTGAATTATATATTTATTAATTATATTTTTTTAATTTTCAATGCAAGTGAACACAGCCGTTTGATGCCTAGTTTCACTGTTCCCACGATTAGCTTTACTACTCTTTTAATCTTTTAAAATTAGAATCTTTAACTTGCGTATACTAAGCTTTGGACTACACATTTTCTTCGATAAATATTAATCAGTACTCAATAAATTAGCCCCCACCATTAAACACTATATGATACATTTACTCCGCTACAGAGTTGAAATCTTCAACCCTAACAGCGCACATAACACCACCACACTGTTGGGTAAATAAATATTCTCACACTTACATCGTACAGCAATCAATTTAGAAAATTAATATTAATAAAACTAACAAAGAACTTTAAACTATAAATATTGCGAAATGTAATGCAAAAACACAAAAAGAATTCTTATAATAAATTAATTATTCGATCGCGCTCTCTTTGTGCTCACTTTCATCACACGTTCTCTCAACACTCGCGCCTTTCAAATAACCGTCTCACAGAAATCTAATGTAAAGTAATGGAATCTATTTACGTTCTCTGCGTCGGATAATATGAGAACCTAGTGAGAGCATTTGCTCAGCGTTCTCTGTTTTTATCGTCTTTTGTTCGTACAAGCATAACAATAGGCTCTCTGACCTGCGCATGACACATGCATATGTACATATGTGCATGCGTGTGCGTGTGCATGGGAATATCTATCGATAACAAGCAGCAAGCTATACAAAACCGGCAGAACGGGCAGACAGTTCGTGAGTAAATGTCGCCGCATTTGGTTGATGAGTGGATTCAGTTTGTGTATGCTTCAGAGTCAATACGAAAATTTGTCATTTATTAGCCGGTTATAAATTGAGAAGTCTTAATTGCTCACCGCTGATTCTAATCAGCAGTGTAATTAAGATTATTTCTTAGTCGTTTTGTGTAAATTCGCTGTGAAAAAGCCAAATACGTATATACATTGTTGTTGGCATTTAATTGTTTAACTCAGTTTTCAATATTACCTGAACTGCGAGCTCAGTTGATTGCTGCACAATGAGCAGTAAGGGTGAAATCAGACGACGCGTGATGACACCTAATTCCAATACGCACACCACCGATCCACTGCTGCTGCAACAACAGCAACAATACGCCGAGGCATTTCGTGTAAGTACAAATACAAATCAGGGCGCATATATATCAAATGCAAGTGTACATATGTAAGTAAATGTATGCATATGTACACATACAGTGCTCAACTGTTTAGTTTCTCCAAAAAAAAACTGCGAGAGGTTGACCATTAATGTAAATATGTACCTAGGGTATATATATGTGAAAGTCTAATTAAATACGTAAATAAATAAATGATCAATGTGCAACCAATAATTTTTTAACGAATTTGTGTGTAAAACATTAGATACTCGTACACGCTGAGTATCATAAAAATAATTACTCAAAAGTAAACAAATCCATTCTGTACTCATCAATCGCGCCTCCCACCGACTAAGCATGAGCACCTACTAAAATTCCGGCGATTTTCGATTTAAATAATTTTCAAAAGCATAAGAATAATAATAGAAGGTGTGAGTTGCGTACGAATATTGGAATTTCTTCAAAAAAAAAAATAAGTTAATTCTCGTGGCTGGCATGATTAGCTCTTAGTGGTGCATGATTTCAATGTTAATGGAATTCATATATCTAAATAAATAATTTTAATGTTTTATTAGTCGAAGTTCATACAATAACAAACTTATGGCGGCCACGCCTTCAGTTCTAATCTTTCGTATATTCCTCGGTTTGAATAACTTCATTTAGGCGACCGAACTTAAATTTCTTCGACACCGTGAAGAATTAATATTTGTGAATGAACTCATATTATATTGTATATTATCATACTTAGAAAAGACCTACCAAAACATAAATATTTACGTAGTTTGTTTTCTGTTTTGTCCATTTTTTTAAAATTATTTAAAATTATTACCTTTATTGCGATACGTTTTGAATGGAATTTTTGGTCTTCGAAAAACATATATGTGCTCGCCTCTGTAAAACTAATATAGTAAATAAAATGTATTGAGCCATCAATTTGTTGCATAATAAATTAACATATATTAAGTATTAACAACTTTTTTCTTCTTTTTTTCTTTGACCTAAACTGCTTTAAATATTTCACACCAATTCATTCAAAAAAAAATGTTTCATATCAGAAAAATTCTTCGAAACCCCACCTTTGTACTTAGATATGTTTAGCATTTTTTTCACAAAACAAATATTATAAACAAGCCTCATAAATTTACAAATAAATCGACTGTTCTCCCCCCACACCTTCGTATTTCACAGGTGCTTATCATTCGTGTTTCACTTTTGATAAGCGCTGCACTTTTGTGTTTGTTACGCCTTGAATGCCTTTAATATATCAAATTAATATCACAAATCTTTTGCTTGTTCGAAAAGGTTAGGAATTATGAGAGTTTTTCCCGCTAATAATGATTATTCATATTTAAGCATTAGTGCCAATGTCGAAGCCAATGTATTATAAAAGTGAATCATTGTCACTTAACTACTTCCTTTGAAGAATATTTTAGAAAAAAGAAAAGAAAGAGATTTAAAAAGAGAGTTTGTTGTTGAGCCACCCAGTATATATACGCATATAACATAATTTTGCTTTATTTGTTTTTTTATTTCTAAAACCGTTCAACAATTATATCTATTGTTCACAAATGCGGTTATCAAGTGGCCTTTGCAACAAAAATAAATTGACAAGGGTGTGAATTTATGACTCTTTGACCACCAAAATTAAATACGGCACAGTAGCAAATTTATTCGAAATCTTATCAAAATCTTATTACTTTGCTCACAGTCTACAGCCATATTAACTATAAATATTTATAAAATATACACATAAAATGGCAATAAAAAACCATCACAACAAAACATGTCCGAACTGTTAAAGAATTTTTCGAAAATCGAACACGTTTCTGATAAGATATATAGTAATATATACATATGTATATAAGTTAAACAATTTATGATTACTGCTGATAAACTAAGGCACAATCACTAAAAATATATCGATAGGAAGGTTAGCGAAAACGAAGCTCTAGGAATTTTTCAGAAGGCAACCATCAATATCTAATTTCATGCTCTTATTTAATGCGCTTTCCCACAGACCCGAAGCTGTTGGCAACGCATCTTCGTTATTAATGGCAGAATCAAATGGCATTGGGCGCCCGTCTTTCTCATCTTCTGGGTGCTGCTCTACTTTTACATTTCAATACCCGCCTACCATCGTCTGCCCGTACCGATAAACATTGCAGATGAAGCGCGATATCCAGATCGTTTTATTGCCGAGCGTGCTGAGCAAAATTTGGCCAAGCTCATAGCCTTGGGTCCTCGTGTGGTGGGTAGTGCCGCCAATGAAAAAGGCGCTATCGAATATTTCCAGGAATATTTGACAAAGTTAAAAGCGGAAGCTAATCCCATTTATGACATTGAAGGCGATGTACAATTGGCTTCCGGCAGCTATTGTCATTGGGATATGGTGAATATGTATCAGGGCATACAGAATTTCGTGATTAAAATCGGCCTGAAGGACACGAACAGCACTTCGTATTTGTTGGTGAATAGTCATTATGATTCGGTGCCGCACGGCAAAGGTGAGCAAAACAAATTGTTTGTAACAAGATTTAAATGAAAAAAAAAAATTTTACAAAATTTTGAATTTTGAATTTTGAATTGTATTTTTTTTCCTTGCAATTTACGATTTTAGGCGCTGGCGATGATGGCACTATGGTAGCTATTATGTTAGAGACTCTGAGGGTAAGTCAATAGTCAAGCAGTTTCATAATTTATTCCCTACTAAAACTCTTAAAAACAGGTATTATCCAAATCCAACAAACCGCTTCGCAATCCAGTTGTTTTCCTCTTCAATGGCGCTGAGGAAAATCCACTTCAAGCCTCACACGCTTTTATAACACAGCACAAATGGTCCAAATATTGCAAGTTAGTCAAAATGAACATACTTACATAATATTATATGTTTACTCTCTTCGCCATCTTTATACCGCATATATGCACTGGCACTTATTTAAATATGCTTCCCCTAATACGAAATCACTAATCGCTTAATCACCCCAAATCACTTACCTTGCTGTACATTCTCCGAATTCAATCTGCTCTTTTCCGCTTTTCCTCTCGACCTGCATTAACTCTTTAAAATGTTGATAACTTTTTAAATTCTCATCGAGCAGGGCTTTAATAAATTTGGATTCTGCTGGCAATGGAGGGCGCGAGATTCTCTTCCAATCGGGCCCTAATCACCCATGGTTGATGAAGGTAAGTAAATGTAGGAGAGCTAAAGGAGAGGTAGAGATGACAGAAAAGCATATTCGTTAAAACTTTACTGCTACAAATCCCTTTCCCTTTTACAAAAACTTTAACTTTTTCTTTTACCTTTGACAGCATTATCGACGTGCCATAATGCATCCATTCGCGTCGACTGTGGCAGAGGAAATGTTTCAGCGACACTTCATACCATCCGATACTGACTTTAGAATCTTTCGTGACCATGGACGTTTAGTGGGTAGGTGAAAGTGTAATAGAATGAATGAAGAGATGTAGTCAAAAGCACATACCGAATAACAATTTATATTTCCATATTGTCTTAGGCCTCGATATGGCGCATCAGTACAACGGTTATGTGTACCATACACGCTACGATGTTCCGGAGATCATTCCACGCGGCACGTTCCAAAATACTGGCGACAATGTACTGGCGCTAGTATGGGAAATCGCTAACGCACCAGAACTAGAAGATCCATCGGTAAGAAAAAAATATTCAATTTTGCACTTAAATAATCTCTTTTGCAATTTCTGCTCTCTCATAAATTCTCAGGGCAACTCCGAGGGTCACACAATATTTTACGATGTGCTGGGTCGCTCATTGGTATTTTACACTGAAACTGAAGGCATAATTGTGAATGTTTTAGTTTCCATCGTCGCCATCATCACTTGCACCATATCCTTCAAACAAATGGCCAAAACTACAGGCTCTAAATTTGGTAACATTATAAATCGTGCCATCACCTCGCTCGGCATACAGGTGCTCGCTGTGATCAGCGCTGTGGCGATTTGCTTCTTTATTGCTGTTTTTATGGATCTAGTGCACATGCCCATGACTTGGTTTACAAATTCCTGGCTCATTTTGGGGTTATACTTCTGCCCGCTGTTCTTCGCTTTCGCTATTGTGCCGGCACTGTACTTCCACTCACAAAAGAGGGTAAGATATTAGACACGATTGTGAGAACATATTTAATTGTATTTTTTAGGTTCGCTTTCCACTAGGCTTCCGCGTGCAAATTTTGCTACACTGCCATTGTCTCTTCTTGACGTTTGTTACCTTGGGCGCCACCATTGCTGGCATACGATCGGCTTTCATGCTTATGATCGCTGTTCTGTTCTACTCAATTGGTCTGATCGTCAATTTATGCACTAAATTGCACAATAAATGTATGTAAATATTAAATATATAAGTTTTTATTTGATGATCATCATGAACATTCTACTTTTTTAATTACAGCTTTGCCCTGGCTGATACCGCATATCCTCTGCAATATTCCACCCTTCCTCTTCTACGCCTACCAGTCTCATGGCTTCTTTGTCGCATTCATCCCAATGACGGGTCGTTTTGGCGCTAGCGTTAACCCTGATTTTATTATTTGTGGTTTTACAGTAGGAGTGGGCCTGCTTACGGGTGGCTTCATGGTGGGTGGCTAACGTAATTTCAATAGCTAAATTATTGATTTTTCTTTTTCTTCATTAAAGATCCCGGTTCTGAATTTATTCCAAAAGTCAAAGGCTATAATCTGTTCCCTTCTTGGTATTACGGTGTTCTTTATAATACTCGCAGCGACCCCTATTGGATTCCCATATCGGCCCGAAACCAATATACAGCGGTTCTCCGTTTTGGTAAGTCTGGGATGATGAAATGAAGATTTTATGCTTCTTATCGACGTTTCTCTTAGCACACACGACGCGTCTTCCATGATGAAACCGACGGCATTCGTCGCTTAGAGACTGGTTACTTTATCATGCCGCAGGATCGGCGAACCTATTCCGTTAAGAGTAAGTATAATAATGCTTTTCCTTTCGAAATACCGGAAATATTTTTAAATCATTTTTTTCTTCAACCTACAGATCAACTACTCAATATGTCTTTGGCAGAAACACTCGAAAAAGACTGCAATGATGAGTTATTTTGCGGTCTTCCACTTTACAATCACCGCTGGAGCAAGGCACGGTATGAATCAAAGAAAAACCTTCAAACATAATTTTGATGGAAAATTGTTTGTCCATTTAATAGGGGATCAAGCATTTGGATTCCTGGTCCAGATCCGAAATTCGACAAAGAGCCCGAATTGAAATTGATTTCTAAGAATCAATTGAGCAATACCTCTATACGCTACGAAATGGAACTGAGCGGTCCTGATCATATGGGTATATATATAAATCCTTTGAAGGATCGCAAAGTTAACGCTTGGTCGTTCCACTATACGCCTCTGCGCTTAAATTGGAAAACACCATATTTCATTTATTTCTCCTATGGCAAGGACAAGAGTCCATTGAGATTCAAACTCGAGTTCGAGGTATGTAATTACTTCCACAAAAGTAAAAAAAAAACAAATGATCACACCACATTACGGCATCATATGACTGCAGGAAATCATGTGGTCAAGAAATCATGTGATGTCCCATAATTGTCACGTCAAACTGAATATTTTTTACAACTCTTTATTTCCTCCCCAGAATCCCTCAGCGGATTGGAGTACACCAATATTTGAGATTGGCATCGCCGGACATTGGAATCACGACGAAAGCACGCATACGCCTGAATTTAAGAGATTCCTGCAAAGTTTTCCTAAATACGTTGATGCAATTGCGTGGCCAGCACACTATGAAGTGCGACTGTTTTAAATTTAAATTAAAATTTTTTTTACCTAATTGTTCAAAGTCGTAAAATTCACTGTCTACTTAAGAGTAAAATCTAAAATGTAAACTGTAAATCTGTATTAGCATTGATATTGCCAAAACAACAATTTTTAGGTTAATGAAATACAAATTTAAATAAATTTTAATAATAAGCCCATGAAAGGTAAAGTTCAACAAATATTAATTATAAAGTAAAATAATTATTGAAAAGAAGAAGCAGCTTTATTAAATCTTCATCGCAAATTCTCAATTGTATCTGAATAATGGGGGTATAGGGCTACCAACAGTAAAACATTTTTCTCCCATGAGATCTCACTACAAAGTCAAATAAGAAAACCGATATTAATAAAATATCTTCTATTTATCTATAAGTTTTTGAAAACTAACATATTTTGTTAAATAAATATATATGTATTTGGAATCGCTCAATATTTATTTTGCGTGCGCATTGAAGACGAAATTGATGCTGTCTGGCAGAGTATCAAAGAAGAGCCAAATGAGCGCAAGAATTGAGATCTGTCCATACACTTTATGGAAGATTTTGCGAAATATCTGCAAAAATAAAATCCGAACGAGATGGTCACCGATCCCGAATCTCGCAAAAAATTTTCTTTCTCTTCAACTTTCAATTAATGTCTTTAAAAATATGTCATAATGCTACAGGCAGCGAGCAACACTATAGAGACAATATTAATCACTTTTTCGTGTCTGAAGTGGAGAATTGTGGACGACACTTGCATTCAGCAAGGCTGCATGCCATACAAAAAGCAAAACAATCAGCTTAATGAAAGAAACTGAAAAGACAAAAGAAACCCGCTGAACTGCCAAAAACTACTACGTAAATTGCCAAAGAAATAAAGCAAGATTTCAGTTATTCGAATTATTTTTGCTAATTGGGGTTTCTCGAATGACAAATGGCGTACTGTACTGTTTCTTCCTTACTGACGTAGACACCGCGTATGCTTCTATAGCCGAGTTACCAACAGCACGGTATTCATTCCTGCTTTTTGCTTTTTGGCGCCAAGTGGAAATACCAGAGAACGTAAATATAACGAGAAGGTTCAGGGCGTGCCGATTGTCATTTTGTTCCGCTTTGCAGTCGACGCCAGTTTTCTATGGATGCATTTCACCCCAGATTTCGATGAGCCCTGTTCACCACTTTTTAACAGAGAACTAGCAGAATTGTGCTCAAAATAGTAGAATGAGTACAATAATGAGAATTTCCATGCAAAATAAATGTAAAATGATAAAAACCTATTGAAGATAAATGTAAACAGCATACATGTATTATCAGAAACTTCTGATTTCAATTTCTGTTTATTTGCTTATTTTAATTTGCAAATTTACTAATATTTGGAATTTACTATTTTATTTTTATTTACTTACATATTTCTAATTTTTCTAAAAATTTTTTAATGATAAGATTATTGGTAGTCATTATAATTGAGATATAACAAAACAAATTTAATTTAATTCTTTCATATATTATTCATTTTTGGCGTAAATATCGAAATAAGTAAACAAGTCAATATTCATTCATTCATTTAAACGTATGAGCGTGCGTACATACATATGTGCCTATTATATATGTATGTACATATGTTTGCTTATGCGTATTAAGAAGAAGCAAAACGTACACATCTAGCAAAAAAAAGCCATGCCATCACCATGACAACACTATTTTAATAGCAAAAAAGTCCTTCTCGAGACGAACGCTGGCGCACCGTCTACCAAGCGAGCTGCGCAGACAGCACACAACTCCCCGCATGCGAAAGTTGAGCAAATTTGTGTCTTCTTCGACAACAGCAAATCGCGCACTCGATAGAGTGAACTTTTTGTTAAGAATTACAAAACTTATTTAAAATGAATGCCAAACATATGTTTAGAAAAAAGTCTCATTATTTTTAAACATGAGCTTTTTCATTTAATTTATGTTTAGAAATTCGAAAAAATGTAAAATTTAATAAGAAACATGAAATCAATGAGGAATTAATTCACTCTATACAAATGACGCCCATAATATCTAAAACTTCCTCGATTTTTAAATTAATGCATATTTTTATTATGAAAAATACAGGTTTATTATTTGAAAAAGTTAATTAACTTAGGAAAATTAAAGATTTCAATTCAAATTTCAAATCTGTGAAGTTATATACGAATCACTCCTATAGCTGTTGACTAGCGCCTGATATATTCGTGGTAAACAAAGTTTACTGTACCTGAATTCGTACACCAAAATGCGAAAAATATGAAATCGAGCAAAATTTTGTGATCGTCGCGAAGAAATCGCTTGTGGATGGCGGGGTATAAGAGCAAGGGCTCGAGCATTGTTAAGATTGTGTGCGTTTTGCGTATACATATTAAATTGCTTGCATGTATGGGTTTTCACTTTGCGTGAGTTCAACATCAATTTTTCGATTTTGCTAAAATTTGACTTCGACTTGAGGAAACTGTTTGTTGGTGAAGAGTCGAAGGAGTCGTCTTCATTGAAATCGAACATTCTAGAATGTTCTAGAATTTTCTAGAACTCTTAGAATATTATAGAAATCCTCGCCACAATTCAACTTGTGGACAAGGTGCATGCGGGAAGGCAAGGAAATTGCTTGCTGTGCTTTATGAAGTAATAGGCGAACAGCAAATTAAGTTGCACGATGGCTATTTGCTTCAGTTCTGCAGACGATGATTGAATTTTTGTCAGTCGCAAGAATTTCAAGCAATGGTTGTGGACGACATATGAATTTTACGGGCTGAAGGAGAAGGGAATGCTTTGTATGTTGTTGGTGTTGCTTCACTTTTCGCGACCATAATGATTTTGTGTGTTTGTGTTTTTTGACACTGTCGCGAAGAAGCAACTTGTTGGAATGGCATGCGCGGTGGTGTTTATGAATGGACGCAATTTGCTTTGTTGAAGGGCGCAGGCGTCTATGAATGAAAATGTTATTGTTGTAATTGATTTCAGCTTTTTGGCGAGAGAAGTATGTTTTCACACAAGTAATGTGTTTGTATGTTTTTGCATATGCGTGTAAGAATACTTGTACATACATACATATGTATGTATGTATATGTATGTATGTATGCATGCATATATTTCTTGAGGCAGGTCAGTATTTTGTATGTTGTATACATACATACGTACTTATGTATGCACAAATGTTTTTTTATTTATAAGTTAATCAAATCGAAAATATCATTAATACGTTAAAATTACAAATCATGAATAAATTATCCTCTATAAAAACGCTATTGCGAAATGCNTATGATGACTACCAATAATTTTATTATTAAAAAATTATTAGAAAAATTAGAAATATGTAAGTAAATAAAAATAAAATAGTAAATTCCAAAAATTAGTAAATTTGCAAATTAAAATAAGCAAATAAACAGAAATTGAAATCAGAAGTTTCTGATAATACATGTATGCTGTTTACATTTATCTTGAATAGGTTTTTATCATTTTACATTTATTTTGCATGGAAATTCTCATTATTGTACTCATTCTACTATTTTGAGCACAATTCTGCTAGTTCTCTGTTAAAAAGTGGTGAACAGGGCTCATCGAAATCTGGGGTGAAATGCATCCATAGAAAACTGGCGTCGACTGCAAAGCGGAACAAAATGACAATCGGCACGCCCTGAACCTTCTCGTTATATTTACGTTCTCTGGTAAAAGTATGTTAATTATTAAACAGAATCTAAATTGATAACATTGATCAGATATGCTGAAAATATCGCGAATTTTGCCGACAGCATTGTGATTTTGGCATATGTACATTTATACGCCTAACTCAACTTAATTTGAAATTAATTGAAAAAATGAGTTTTCCCTGTTTTCATAATAAACAAGCAAGTTTTCAAAATAAATCAATATTTTTGATTTTAAACATATATATACATATATGCATATGAAAATTATTATTATTTGTAGCAAATGTAGAAACTTTTACATTAACCATACAAACATTTGCTTGAACAAGGGATGTGTATGCAGAAACTCACATATTTCTATACATACTTATATCGTAAAATATTTGAAAAAGTTTTCATTCATTAACGCATGCGCCATACAATAAAGCAAATTGTTTTCATTCATAAGGACCGTCGAACACATAACCCCGCTTACCCGTCTCAACACTTGCTTCATCGTGACGTTCGTAAACTAAAACATGAGAGGAAAACTAAATTCGAGTGGAACCGAACAATAGATACTCGGATGATATTTATATGTCACGTTGTTTACAACATTTAGATTCTTTTCGAGCTATCAAGTATAGAGATAGAGGGACAGATATTCCTAATTCCTCATCATAATTTTTCATAGGGTCTATACCTACCTCCATTATTTTCGAACTGTTACCAGAACAAAACTAATACTCTGTGCACATAGTATGGTGCCTTCCCGCATGCGTATTGCTTGTCCTTGCCATGTAAGCTGAATTTTGACGAGGATTACAAAATTCTGAAATTCTAAAATTTAAGAATATTTGAAGTTTGTGTTCATGAAGAAAATACGAAGTCAAATTTTGCCAAAGATCAAATATTTTAGTTGAGCAAAAATCGCAAACCCATACATTAAAGGCTCCGTATATGTATACAAAATACAAATACACACAAAGTCTTGTGCGACCCCTTTCCCTTCGTTCCCTCCACCTTCAAGTTGCTTCAGAAATTCAAGTTGAGCTGAAGTCAAATATTCGTACATATGAATTTATGTACATATATGCATGTGTGTACGTATGCTCATACGCTACAATGATTATATGAATTAATCAATATTTACCTCCCTAAATAAATAATATTTAATGAATAGAATATTTTATTATGCCTCACTTAATACTAATAGATACAATTAAAAGTTTATAAGAGTTACATATGTACATGTCTACATAATAAGCATGTGAGTATATATATGTATAAGCAAATGGTCATCTAAAAGAAATTAAAAAGTGTCATTGGTCTTAAGAAATACATAGTATGTATTTATTAAAAATTGTTAAAATATTAGCAGTAATTAATTGATGATTTCAAATTTGAATTCAATTTAATCATTTATATGTGATAAAAGTTAATTTACATTTGCATAGATTTTAGTTCTCTGGTGTGTTTGAATACGCTCAGTTCTGTTCATTTTTCATATCGAGATGAAACAGAAATTCCGGGAAGTGACGATTACACCAAACGAGATTTTTCTGCCAGAAATGTCAGAAAGGCTGGCTTTGCACCTTCTCTATATTCTACGTTCACTGTGCCTTAACCGACCGTTTAGTTATGCTTAATTGATTAACCGGAGATGCTGAAAATGGCCTTGAAATGATGCTGATTTTAAATTACATTTATTTTCTTGATTTCTCCGTGA